GAAGTTTCGAGTGTTGTGGAAATTGACAATGAAGGAAGTGTGATTCCACAAGAAGCTACCATAAGTATTGCACCAGAGATAGAGAGTTCGTTGGGCAGATGACAACATGTTAAGAATCTTTCTGTGAGATTAAATGATTATGTTACCTACAAGGAAGTTTGCAATAATAGTACCCCTCACGTCGTCACCTTCGATCACTCCTACAGCGTTTTCTTCGACCCGGTCACTGGTAACACACTATACACACTTACTGAATATATTTCAGATGAACATTTTTTCTGATGGACACAAAGCTTTTCTTGCAGCTTTCTGTGCTGATAGTGAGCCTAAGAATTTTAAAGAGGCCATGAGCGATAAGAGGTGGACAAAAACAGTTTCTAAAAAAGTTGATGCACTTGAGGTTGCAAATACTCAAAGTTCGAAAACTCGTTAGGCGCTACGCATGCGGTCGGGTAGTGCCTAGCACCGAAACAATTAATCGGAGATTATACGAAGATTATACGGGAATTAATCGGGGAGTAATTTTAGGGTTTTCATATATGTGTAAGGATTATATAACTAATATGTGTTCTAAAACCGTTGATGACACCTAGTCTAGTGGTCATGCGCTTCTCCATACCTTCCAAAGCTCGGGTTCGAAGTTGTTGCGGCTCATTTTGTCACTATTTCCAATTTTTAGGTTTAATGAACTGGTGAAAGACGAAAATATCCCAGTCTTCAACCCCTTTTCGGTTTCTTAAAGAGAAACCGCCGCTTTTGTTTTTTTTTTTACGATTTCATAGTTTAATCATGCTAATGTTGAAGATTTTAATCAAATAGAACAGATCAAAGAGATATATGTGAGTTGGTACATAAAATTTACAAAAAATGATGATTTTTTAAGTTCTCCGATTAATACTCTAACACCAACTTGCGGTGGTGCTCAGCCAGCTCACGTAATTCCTGCGATTAACCGGGCGCTGAGGCCGTGTTTTTGAACATGGAAAATACTTGGAGTGTGGTTGATTTACCGACTGGACGAGTAGCTTTGGGCACGATGTGGGTGTTAAAATAAAGTATAATTCCGATGGGACAGTGGAGCGCTTCAAGGAAAGGTTAGTGGTTCTTGGAAATCAACAAAAAGATGGTTGTGACTATGATGAAACTTTTTCTCCAGTTGCAAAGATGACTACAGTTGCTCCAGTTCCAAAGATGACTACAGTTCGGAGTCTCTTGAAGATAGTAGCCACTCAGAACTGGGAAGTGCACCAAATGGACATGCACAATTCTTTTCTTCACGATAATTTGGATGAAGAAGTATATATCAAACTTCCGCAGGGTGTTAATAATTCAGATCCAAATAAAGTATGTCGATTATATAAATCTCTTTACGGACTGAAGCAGGATCCACGATGCTGGTTTGAAAAGCTTACAAAGGCACTTGTCAAAGCAGGTTATGTTCAGTCTCTAGCCGACTACACCTTGTTCGTATATTATCGTCGAAGTGTTGAGATTCAGGTGTTGATTTATGTGTCTTATTATATATGAGAATGATGGAGAAGCAATTAAGAAGTTTAAGGCTTATCTTGGTGATTGTTTTCACATGAAAGATCTAGGGAGGCCGAAGTATTTTCTTGAAATAGAGATCGCTCGTAATAAATAAGGATTTATTTTGAGCCAAAGAAAGTATGATTTGGACATTGTCAAGGAGACTAGTCTTGTTGATTCGAAGCCTGTTGCAACTCCGATGGAACAAAACCATTACTTAGCTGCAGACGACAGTCGTTTTGCGACTGATCCAGCGCGTTACAGATGGCTTTGTAGGGCGGCTTATTTATCTTACTAATACAAGACCAGACATATCCTACTCAGTGCACATATTGTCTCAATTTATGCAGAAACTACGAGAAGAGCATATGGATGCAGCATTACGAGTCGTGTGGTTTCTCAAAGGGACAGTTGGGAAGGGTATATTGTTTAAGACATAAACGGATTTGCATATTTCCATTTATTGTGATGCTTATTGGGCGGCGTGTCCATTAAAAAGAAGGTCCCTAACTGCACATATTGCCATGATAGGAGGTTCTCCAGTCTCTTAGAAGACAAAGAAGCAAAAGGTGGTGTCGCATTCATCGGCTGAAGCAGAGTATCGTGACATGTCTATTGCCACTCGTGAAGTACAATGGCTGCGAAAACTCTTACGAGATTTTGGGTTTTACACCAAAGACACCAGCTCGACTCTTTTGCAATAGTAAGTCAATATATATAGCTACGAACCCAGTATTTTATGAATGTACTAAACACACTGAGATCGATTGTCACTGGATTCTTGACGTGTTGACAAAGGTCTTATGGAAGTTTCAGTTCAATCTTCTCATGTCCAAGTTGGGCATTTGTAGTATGCATGCTCCAACTTTAGGGGGAGTGTTGTGAAAATGATGTATATTGTTTACATAATCATGTAAATATTAGAGATAAATACTCTAATAAAGTCGGTTAAAGATATAATGTCTATGTAAAGTTGTATATATTGAGCATTAAGATCATGAGGAATGGCAGACAAAATATATAGTAATTCCTTGCTTTACAAATATCGTCCTAAAAAGCTAATTAGTTAGTGTAAGGACAATTTTTAATTATTACTTAGATAACTAGTTTTTCTAAGGCAAAATGGTTTTCGGGAATTACTCGTATACTATACTTACAAAATTGGCTAGTATCACTAGTATTACTATGTATAGTATTGAAATAAATTAATTTTAGTAAGAGAAGATTGTATGGTATGAGAATTAATTTTAAGTTTCTTAATAATGATAATTCTAGTGATATTGCATTTTATTTCATGAAAATGCAAAATCTACGTTGTACAATCATTTGTTTTGATTATGGGGGATATAATATGAAGGATGAGGATGAAATAAAATGGATCTCGAGAGATGGTGAAGGTTATATATGAAATTCACACGATTGTGTTGAAGAAATCAGTGGAGGAGGTCAGTTACTCTGGTTTGGTTGAGTGTATTTGCAGAAAGATAAAGGCAGATGAATAGAGTGAATATTAGTTACTTTCCAATGGTATTGTATTCGTACAAGCCATCATACATCTGGAATGATGAAGACGTTTATGGTTATCTACTCCAAGTAAATCATGAGAAGTATAGAAGTGTGCTACATGTGGAGTTCATCAATAAATAAGTAAAATTTTCAGAAGAGGATGATGAAATTGATGTCTATGTCGGTATATCTGATGGAGAGGCTATAAAGGCTGGTGATGAAGATGGTATTTAGAATGATAGAACTGATGTCTATGTCGGACCAAGGAAAAACATGATAATCATCTTCAATCTATCTCGACACGGCTGCATAGACAACATCTTCTGCTCCACATCAGTGATGGTGATTTTCTTTATGTCATAGAAGTAATAATCCACAAACTTATAACTCCGTTTCTTCTCATAATTCTTCGGATACTCACTCAGTCTAAGCCAGAGATGAGAGCACTCTCCCTCATAGAATAGGGATGGGTACACCATTAGCCGAAAATTATGCAACATCATCTTCTGAAGTAAAAAATGGTGCGCATGAGTAACATCCACATCACTTGGAGCTTCAGGTTTGGTTCTTTTGGCATGTGGAAGAAATGTCGAAACTAAGGATGGCTTGTGAACATTCAGCCTTAGACTTAAGCTTGTTCTTGATGACATTTACTGTCTTGGTCACAAAGCACTTGGTTTGTATCTTGCAAGTCTTTTAATTCACTACTTTTATATTAGAATTCAAGGGGTTGCATTTCTTGATATCAAAATACATATATATATGTTACTAATGATAGTAGTATTAGTAATGCTAGTAATACAAGAAATACTAGTCAACATTTCTCATTAACAATGACAATGAATACAAAATATATACCTCACGTTCGGATCTAGTTGAGACTGTGAGCGATTTTACACTCGGTTATCTCACTGGCGTACTCTTCTTATGAACTACCGGCTCTTTTGCATTTGAGACCGGTTTTTAGTTCTAAGAGATTGGCGACGTCTTCATTGGTGACTCCCTTTTGCTTTCCCTTCATAACTTTCATATATATGGCATTAAAACACTCAATCACTCTAAATGAAAACCGCAAAATAACAGCGCAACATCAATTAAGATTCATCAACAACAAGATTCATCTTCCTAAATCAATTTTATTAGCAACAATTTATTACAACTTATCCGTCCACTCGGAAACACACACAAAACGTATCAGCCTCGGTCCCAAATAATTTCACTGTAATATATATCTAAACATGAGATTTTCCAAGTTTTTGTCCAATTTCAAAGTCAATATCTAAACATGAGACACATCTTATGTTTCCCAATAACTTACAAGTTTCCTCCAAATTTGTTTTCAATCTACTTACAAAATGAAGGAAAGCTAATCACTTATCACAAGGAATGAAGATGGAGCCTCGATATCGATGGAGAAGGAAAAAGAAACGAATCGAACTCGACTTTAGGGTTTCAGAAAAGAGAGACAAAGAGATAGTTGAGACACGAGAAATGAGAGGGATAGTTTAATGGATTCCCGATTTAGATAAAAGAGGAACGAAGATGGAGACTCTAGGGTTTTGAGTTATTGAGAGGGAGAGGAGATGATGAAATGAGAGGGAGTTGAGTTATTCTCCGAAAATAACATCGTTTAGGTTTAGGTTTAGGTTGGGTCGGATTTAGGATCGGTTTTGGGTGGGTAGAATCTTTAGATTGGATCTTGTAAATATTTGATTTGTGTTAGGGGTAATCTGTTCTTTAGTCACATTTACTATTTGAAAAAATAGAAAATAAATTATATTATAAGAAAAAGATAGACTTGAGATTTATTTTTGGAGTATGAATATGAAGTATATGGAGTTATTCTCCCCAAAATTGATTCCAACCGAATCAAAATTATCAACCGGTTCCTCAGATCCTAGACCCAAGTCGAAGCAACCGTATAGGTTACAACGGCACCGTTCCATTCCAATTGAGAATCTCTATCTGTTATTATTCTGTTCACTTTCCTTCAACTCGAGAGCTCTTCGTCATGGAGAATCTGGCGGCGCAGTTTCTCCACAAGCTACCTCCTCCGCTATGGAATCCAACCACACGTTTCCTCACTTCCTTTATCTCTAGACCCAATCTCATTTCCACCTCTTCCCTCCGCCGCTCGTTGCCCTTGTCTCTCGACTCGAGACAGCCCACTTCTCTTCTTTCCGACAACCGCTTTCTCAATTCATTACCGCGACGACTCAACCATCCCGGTTCATGTCCTCTACGGCTGCTTCAAGAGGATGGAGACTGGAGCAAAGACCAGTTCTTCGCCGTCATCCGATTCCTCCGTCACTCCTCTAGACTCCACGAGATTCTTCCTGTAAACCTTTCTATATATTTATAGATTCAAGAAAATCAAGAACCATGCCTTATCTTTTTTCTAATGATGCAATCTCAGGTGTTTGATGCGTGGAGGAAGCTAGAGCCTTCACGAACAAACGAGGCTAACTACGAGAAGATCATAAGGCTTCTATGTGCTGAAAGATCGATGAACGAAGCGGTTCAAGCTTTACAATCTATGATTCATGATTATAAGATAAACCCGTCTTTAGAAATCTACAACTCAGTCATCCGTGGTTATGCTAATGATGGGCAATTCGAGGAAGCTATGTTGTTCTTGAATCAGATGAAAGAGAATGATGTGTTACCGGAAACTGAGACGTACGAAGGGTTGATTCAAGGGTATGGTAAGTGGCAAATGTATGATGAGATTGTTTCGTGCGTCAAGAGAATGGAAGCTGAGGGTTGTGTGCGTGACCATGTTACTTATAACCTACTCGTGCGTGAGTTTGCTCGAGGAGGGTTACTTAAGAGGATGGAGAGAATGTATCAGAGCTTGATGTCGAGGAAGATGAATGTGGAGCCTCTTACTTTGGTGTCAATGCTTGAAGCTTATGCAGAGTTTGGGGTGTTGGAGAAGATGGAGGAGACTTATGATAAGATTCTGAGGTTTGGGATTTTTCTGGATGAAGAGTTAGTTAGGAAGTTAGCTAGTGTTTACATTAATAACCTTATGTTCTCGAGACTAGATGATTTGGGTCGTGGTATTCGTAGGAGTGATCTGGCTTGGTGTCTGAGGGCTCTGTGTCATGCTTGTCTTGTGAGTAGAAAAGGTTTGGATTACCTTGTTAAAGAGATGAACGAAGCAAGAGTTCCTTGGAGTACAAGTTTTGCTAATATTGTTCTTTTAGCTTACTCGAAGATGGGAGATTTCAAGAGCGTCCAACTGTTACTCTTCGAGCTACAGAGGAGAGGTGTGAAACTTGATCTTGCGACTGTAGGAATCGTCTTCGACTTGAGCGTGGCTGGTTTCGATGGTACTGCAGTTTTTATGAGCTGGAAAAATAATGGGTTTCTTGATAAGCCTGTGGAGATGAAGACTGACACTCTGGTTCATGCTGCTTTTGGGGAAGGGCAGTTTCTTAGAAGCTGCAAAGAAGTGATGATGAAACCGTCTCTTGAAGAATCAAAGTCATTGACTTATCAGTATCTACTAGAAGTTGTGGTTAAGAATCAGAAAAACTGATACTTAGTATGTATGTAAATTTCAATTTATAAATTGCACAGTAACTTTATTGTGAAAGTAAAAGTAACAAAGTAAAAAAGAGGACGCCATGATTGGCAAAGGAGGTTGATATGCTTTCGTTGCGCTCGTACTATTGAAAGGGGAAAAACAAGATGAACTTTTAAAACCATACCTTTGCATGGTATTGCGACACTCGGCTCTAGCCCGACGTCTTTGATGAAACACTCAGCTTGAGCCCAACGTTTTGATGAAGGACCAGCCTCGGTGGCTTTTGTGCACCTCCTCTTCTTAGTCGTGTTGAGGTTTGCACATGGCCTCTTGCGACCTATGGCCTCTTGCGACCTTTGGCCATAGCAGCTGGGGTCACGCTAGATGCAGGCAGCCCCAAGACGAGCTCTCTCTTGGCCGGGGGAGGGGGCATCGAATCAAGGGTTGGTCCGGTCTTGACAACAGGAATTGGGGCAGTGGACGAACTTGACGGCTGAATTGCAGTCTCTGGCGCGTCAGCCCGCTCCCCCGGGCGCAACATCGAGCACATCAATCGGGACGAGAAGATTTGGTGGGACTATGCATGTTGAACTCATCATCTCCTCGGTGTCACAGCGTCCATCTGCTCTGGAAAGAGAGAAATTCCAAAATGTGAGCCGAAACGACTTTAGAAGGGTTTGATGAGCTCACTCCAAGGTTGCCACCCATCAGAGCATTGTGACTCTTCTGGCCGTCATTGGAAGAAGACATTTTGGCAAGAGAATTTTTAAAGAGAAGGCAGAGGGAACTTGGGAAGTTGAAAATGTGTCAAAAGAATGAAAAATGCGAATCCAATACTTTTAGAAAAACAAGGAAGAGTTATTTTCCGTAATAAAATAATCATATCTTTTTTTGAGAAAAATCAATTGTAGTCGTGGATTCTGATTAACAACTCTACTCGCCCGCAAGAATCATTCTCGAAATTTGTGAGTTGAGCGGCTAACTGTTGGGGTAAAAAACGGTTATCTCAAAATCAACGTCTAAGATTGCTTCTCCCTACGAATTCTTTCTCCACACACTTCCAAAAGAATACCGAGTCGAGAACTCAAAGATCGATCAATCGAAACACAGACAACACTAACGAGAAGTTGGATACAACGTCCAACTCGTTTGGTGGCGAGTAGGACGCAATGTTCAACTCGCCACCGGGCGAGTTTGACCACGCCGTCCAACTCGCCCGGTGGCATGTAGGACACAATATCAAAATCTTTGGCTTGATCACACTCTAAACCTCAATCACACTGTCTCTCATTCCGTCTCGCTCAGAGTTACCATTGGAACTTTATGACAAAAACCGCAAAGACTTGTTTTCTCGTATGAATTCAAGTTGATCGTGTAAAACGACAATGGTTAGCATAACACCAAGAATGACTCAAATATACGAGTGAATTGAACTACTTTATAAAGAACAAAGTCGTATCAAAGACGATTTCTTTAAAAATCGTAAAAATGCTCAAAATCGTCAAAACGGCCGGAAAGGTTCTAAAGCCTACGTACAATTTTAGATGAAGTATAGTCCAAAAATTTAACCATTACTCGTATAAGAGGATAAATATCAAGTCTGAAAGATAAATGTTAAGTTTCCAAAAGATAATCATGAAGATCGAGAAAAACGAAATATTTCCGCATGACAATCAATTCGACCCAGAAGCGATGAAGGAAAGTCAAAACCGACCTAAGGATGAGTAAATAAAGGATGCAAAGGCCAAAGACAAAGGGAGGATTTTTTAGACCTAGAGAATTCTGGTTAGCTTAGACGAATTTAGGACTTAGGTGGTTAGACTATCAAGTCGGATACTAGGAATGTTTGGTTGCTTTAGTTCCACGATTCTCTTTGTTAAACAGTTCTCAATCTCTTCATTCATTCAGAGATATCTTGTATCTTTATTCGCAATAATCAGTTAAAGCCTCCGCATAATTCTTGTTTGATATTCTGTTATCTATCTCTTTATGTTTTGCGTGTGTTTATTACAGATATCCGAGAACTCTGAAAAATTAGGGGTTTTCTAACTTTTCTTATTTTACGGAAAATCGATAGTGTGAATTTTGGTTCCCATAACAAGATTATTTTAAGATTAGTCATATTTCTCACTATTTGTTAGTGATAGCTAAAAGTAAAAGCCACATAGAAATTATTATATAATATATAAATTAATATGTAAATATATTATTTACATAAATTTTATAGAAGTAATATTCTAATATAAATTTAATATGATAAATGTTGAAGAGTATAAAATATATAGGACAAAATTTTAATAGTCTATATACCAATTTTATCATACATTAACATTTTCATCCTTCAAAGACAAAAAAATACATTTGTGGTTGTGTTGGTCATATTCTAAAAATGAATAATATAACTGACTGTCGAGAAAATAGAATAAAATTATTCAATATAAACTATAGAATTACTGTATTTAAAAATGTCATGCTAAACAATAATTTAATGAGGTAAATTTTAAAAAGAGAAATGATTGGAATAGACCAAAAAAATTTTTTGTCACAAATATAGACCTTAACAATTAAAATGACCAAATAGCAATTATATATTTTACTAAATATATATTTTACCCTTAGGTTAACTAATTCTAGACTTTTTTGTTTAGAGTGGAGTTTGGGATAGGGTTTCAAACTTTTTTTTAAAAAAAAAACTTAAAATTTTCAAAATAAAAAGTGCTATTTTGGTCATTTTAATTGTTTTTTTAAAAACCTATAATTCAATCATCCACGGTTATGCTAATGATGGGAAATTTGGCGAAGCAATGTTATACATGAATGGGAAGATGGTTAGGGTCGGAGTTCTGTAGGGCTGTGAACGTGGGTCCGTGGGATGGGTTGTCACAGGTAAGTGGCAAATGTATGATGAGATTGTTTCGTGCGTCAAGAGAATGGAGTCTGAGGGTTGTGTGCGTGACCATGTTACTTATAATATACTCGTACACGAGTTTGCTCGAGGAGGGTTGCTTAAGAGGATGGAGAGAATGTATCAGAGCTTGATGTCGAGGAAGATGACTCTGGAGCCTGTTACATTAGTGTCAATGCTTGAAGCTTATGCAGAGGTTGGGGTGTTGGAGAAGATGGAGGAGGCGTATGACAAGATTCTGAGGTTTGGGATTTGTCTGAATGAGGAGGTTAGCTAGTGTTTACTTTGATAACTTCAGGTTCTCGAGGCTCGATGATTTGGGTCGTGGTATTCGAAGGAGCGATCTGGCTTGGTGTCTGAGGGCTCTGTGTCATGCTTGTCTTGTGAGTTGAAAAGGTTTAGATTGTGTTGTTAAAGAGATGAATGAAGCAAGAGTTCCTTGGAGTACAACTTTTGCTAATATCGTACTCTTAATTAGCATACTCGAAGATGGGAGATTTCCAGAGCGTTGAACTGTTACTCTCCGAGCTACAGAGGAGGAGAGGTGTGAAGCCTGATCTTGTGACTCTAGGAATCGTCTTCGACTTGAGTGAAGCTGGGTTTGATGGTACTGGAGTTTTTATGATAAGCCTGTGGAGATGAAGACAGACCACTACTTTTGGGGAAGGGGAGTTTGTTAGAAGCTGCAAAGAAGTGATGATGAAACAGTATCTTGAAGAATCAAAGTCATTGACTTATCAGTATCTTCTAGAAGTTGTGGCTAAGAGTCAGGAAACTGAAACTTAGTATGTTAATTTCAATGCATATAGAGTGCACAATAACACTTTTATTTTTTGAAGGTAAGAGACATTTACATCAGTGCTCTTCTTCATTGCACAGGCTTGGTTTGATTTTGATGGTCTTGTAGATACATCTCGGCTAAGGCAGCAAAGACTGCTGATCCAATGGGAAGAACATTCTCATCAAGGAAGAAATGAGGTGAATGAACCGAATGCACAGAACCGACTTGTTCGTTTCTGATACCGATTCCTAGATAGTAACCAGGTATCTTCTGTTGATAGAAGGCAAAATCTTCACCGGCCATTATCTTCTCACCCGGTTTCACATTCTCTGGTCCAACCAAGAGCTTCAGAACCTTTTCAGCGTGCTCGTGTAACTTGTGATGGTTCACAGTTGCTGGATACATAGGATGATCTTGTTCATGCATGTCTATATCCGCTTCGCATCTATGTACTTGAGCTTCTCCTTCAACCACCTGTCACACCAACAATGATCAGTTTAGCCCTGGCTTGCTTTGATATTATCAATTCCTAACCTTACCTCTTTCAACCTTTGCCTCAACCAGTTCATGCCATGGGTAGTAAGACTCCTCAAAGTTCCCCCAAATTCTACATCAGAAGCACCGCTTTTCATAAATGTAACAGATAGCACCTAAGAAACCCAAAACAAAAGTAACTCATGAGACGACTTGAGGTTTGTCTTAATAAATATAGTAGTGGAGAAAGTATACGTACGTAGCTTAAGAGAGGATCTGCTTCTCTGGAGACTATATGTTGCAATGCTAAGATGGTAGAGGAAGCAGCCAAGAGTGGATCAACACAAGAAGAAACTCCAGTCATTAATCGTACACTGAAAATGCTAGTTGATGCCATAGCAGCACCAGAGATAGTGGATACTTGTCCTGTAGGCAAGTCATGATTAACATGCATCCCAAATATAGCTTCAGATTCACCCAAAGCACCCTCTTTTATCATCTCAAAAGCACCTGCCCCACCTTCTTCGGCTGGTTGGAAGAGAAGCCTCACTGTTCCCTTTATTTATCATCAATCAATCAAGCAAACAGAGTCAAAAAAAAAAAAAAAACTTAAAAAGGAAAAAGACTAAAAAAAGATGTTTACATTGAGGATATGTTTGCGTTTGGTAAGCAACTTGGCAGCACCAAGGAGCATAGTGGTGTGAGAATCATGGCCACAAGCGTGCATTCTACCCTCGATTTTGCTCTTATGATCCCACTCAACCAGTTCCCGCAAGGGGAGAGCGTCCATGTCGGCACGGAGAGCAACAACCGGAGGTGAACCGGATCCGATTTGAGCCACGATTCCGGTTTTCGCGACGGGGTAAAGGTAGGAGACCCCTAATTGGTCGAGCTCGCGGCGAATGAGGGCACTGGTTTGGTGTAACTCGTAAAGGAGTTCTGGGTTTTCGTGTATTTGTCTTCTCACGGACACTAACCACTCTTTATTAGCCTCAGCTTCGTTTAGCAATAGACGCGGATGATGATACTCTCCTCCATCCACGGAAACGGTAACAAGAAGCAATAGTAGTAGTAGAAGAGGCGTTGAACGTGCTATTGCCATCTCTAAACTGGGATCAGCGAAACGCAAAGAAGCTGCGATCGGAAGTAGGCGAAGGTTGGTGGGAAGTACCAATCGAAAGCTTCCGTTTTTGGTAGAGGAGCGTACCTGACCACTGACGTCACCCTCGCTCTTTTCTTATTACTATTACTCTTCTTTTTTTTTGGGCGGCATTGCTCTTTCTTTTTTGTTTCTGAGAATTTGTTTTTGGAAACCCTCATATATCAACTCTTTTGAAAGTTTTATTATTAATTAATATGCATTTTATAGAATATAAAAATATTCTACATTGGAACATATTTTTATAATTTAATATGCATTTTATATGTCTATTGGAAGAATTGTTTTTTAGGCCAAAAAATAATAACATTATCTCTTTATACTAATTTCTATTTTTGTACTATTTTTCCCATAATATCCTTTAATATTTTCGAAAATAAATTAAATATATAGTTTTACGAACAAAAATAAAAAAATAAAAAATAGTAACTAGTTATCAAACACCTATATCAATTTAGTAGTATTTTTGTTCAAATTCTAAAATTGTATACATTTTTTTTCAAATTATGTCTACATAAAATAAAACTGGCATTCTACAAAGTAGAAAATGAAATCCACTTTTTCATTGAATCTATTATGTTTAGAATACGTGATCTACATAAATAGAATTATTCAAAAAATATTTCGAATACACATTCCGCACTTAAAATATCCATCTAAAATCAGAAGAAAATGAAATCTACATATAATTATAAAATCTAATATACATAGAAATCAGAATCTACACATTATTATAAATCTAAAACTTGTAGAACCTGATTTCAAACATTATTATTGTATTCTACATATAATAGAATACACATTCTACGAATAAAAGTATTATGTTCCGAAAATGTAGAAATAAAATATTTCAAAATATTCAATTTCCAAAAATAAAAATCAATTTTTTATTTTGAAAAATCAAAATTTTCATTAAATAAGTAATAGAAACATGTGATTTGGGAACTCACGTCATGTTATCCATCCTTCACAAAAAATTCACAAAAAAATTCACATTGGTTCTACCATTATTCATGTTGGGGGCAAAATTGGTACGACGGAATCAATGGCCAAAACTTCCCATAAAAAATATTAAATATGTTTTATAAAACTTGAAAAGTTGTTTTATAAAACTCGAGAAGTCGTTTATAAAAATCGGGAAATCATTTTATAAAACTCGAGAAATCGTTTTATAAAACCCGAGAAGTCGTTTTATAAAACTCGAGAAATCGTTTTATAAAACCCGAGAAGTCGTTTTATAAAACTTGAGGAATCATTTCCAAACAAAGGAAATCCGCAGAAAACTCGGAAATCGTTATCTCGAAAGAACGAAACAAACACCGATTACACGATCTTCCGAGTTAAGCACAAAACCGCGAAAAACCGTTATCGGCGTAAAACACGAGCTGGTTCGGTCAAACTAGCTCCCCGTACGGCGAGCTATCTCGACCAGATGGTTCAGCTCGCCGTATCTCGACCAACGATAGCTCGCCGTACGGTGAGCTGAACCAGTCCGGTTCGGTTCGCCATACGTCGAGCTAATTATCCCGAGCCTCGATCTCCCACGTCCTCGAATCAAGGCATACGTCCTTCGGCACGATCGTGTTCTAAACCACGGTCGGAATGTCTCTCGTTTCGTCTCGATCCGTCGTATCGTTCGAGTTTTACGATAAAAACCGTAAAGTCTTGTTTTCTGGAAAGAACTCAAGGAAATCGTATAAAACGGCAACGGTTAACAAAACACCGAACATTGCCTAAACTATACGATTTACTCGAGATTTTTCGTGAGAAGTCGTAAAAAACGTGTTTTTAATAAAAATGTCTAGTGAATCGTAGAAAACGACAACGATTAACCGAAACATCGAACATTGCCAAACTTTACGATTAACTAGAGAAACCTACTTAAAAACGGCATCGCATCAGGAAACGATCTCGTCTAAAGTCGTAAAACGGTTTCTTATCGCTAAACGGCTCGAAAAGTCCTAAAACACGATAAAAGCCCACTCGCGATTTTAACGAAATCCAACCCAAAGATACGACGACGTGTTGATGATTTACTCATAGGAAAGAAGATAAATGTCAAATTCGATGATAAATTTCAAATTCGAAGATAAATGGCAAGTTTGAAGATAAATAGAAGATTTCCGCGGGAAAAAAAAAGAAGGATCGAGATAAATGGAAGATTCTTGATAAACTCAAAGATGGGTGAAATGGAAAGACTAAACTGCCTAGGAAGGGAGTATATAAGCAAGAGGCAAAGGACCGAAGCAAGAGGCAGAGGACCGAAGCAAGAGGCAGAGGACCGAAGCAAGGGACGAGTTTTCAGAGCATTCACCACCAAACTTAGCATTTAGGCAACTTTCCATTTTTGTTATCGATTTGCGTCTTAACTAGGTTTATAGTCTCAGATTGCTAGGGTTAGGAATCTCGCCGACGGCTCACGCAGCTAAGGCTACTCTTGTTGTACCGTTCTTACGCAAATTCGGATTAAGATCATTCTTGCTCTCATTCTCGTTTTTCAATACTTCTATTTCGCATTCATCGTTTTCTTAATCATTCTTGTGCGGTTCCGCAGATAGTCGGGTCCTCTGGGAAATTAGTGTTTACTCTAAATTCCCTTATTTACGATTTCTTGACAGTAGGTGAATTTCGGTTCCCACAGTTTGGCGCTAGAAGGAGGGGGGGGGGGTCGGATCTATCTTACACTCAAGCCGCAGCACGCTCGATCAAGAAACAATTACTGATGACAACCAAACTCGCGACGAAAGCGACAACGTTGACAAAACACCACTACCACAAGATGAGTCTGCGGCCATTGCTACAAACGCTAACGCCGAGACCGTCGAAAAGATGCTCTCCGATTTTAACAAAAAATCGGAAGTGCAGGAAAAGCTCATTGGTTCACTCGTAAAACAGGTTGAAACCCTAACTGCGAAAACCAGAGCGATTCGCCCCCGCGGAACCACTAAGATCCGCGGAAGGAGGCTCGATTTCGCGACTCCTATGGATCGTCCCAGAACCGAGCAGGAAATCAGACGGAGAAAGACTCCGAAAAAGATAACCCTGACGCGATGCTAAACGAATCGGAAAAATCTCCTACTCGCGAACAGGAGACCGAGGGCGACGACATCGAAAGGGTTAACCTAGAAACAAGCGACCAAGCCGACACGTCAGACGAGGACGTGGACGTCCATCCTAGGAGAAGAAAAACTCGCAGCCCTCTGCCAAAGTCCTCTCCCGAGCGTTCTCTTACTGGAGACGAGGAGGAACTCTATTTTGCGCAATGCGCGAAAACCGCCGAGAAACGATCTCCGGTTACTCGCAGCAAACGCCGACGAGATCGGAAAACTGCTGGCGAACTAACAGAGATTCGCGATCTCCGCGAGTACATTACCAAAAGGGTCGCAGAGGTAAAAGCAGTGAAATCTCAGATTCACCACGCTACCAGCGCCGCACCCAAAATCGATCGGCTACTATAAAAATCTCGGAAAATGCCTTTTAGAGCTCGGATCACCAAGGTCAAGTTACCTGATCCGGGGAAACTCAAGGTGTCAACCTACGACGGGACGACTGATCCCAAAGCGCACCTACAAGCCTTCCAGATCACCATAAGACGGGCCAAGCTCAAGGATCACGAAAAAGACGCAGATTACTGTCGTTTTCTCATCGAAAACCTAGAAGGAGCAGCGCTGGAATGGTTTGCCAAGCTCAAGTGAAACTCAATCGGGAATTTCCGCCGGCTTGCTTCCGAATTGCTGAAGCAATACTCGATGTTTATAAATCAAGAAACCTCATACGCTGATCTCTGGAGCTTGTCGCAGAAGGAGGACGAATTCCTTCGCGATTTTGATGAGCAGGTTCAAACTCGCCATGGCTAGGGTTAGCGGAATAAGTGACAAACCCGCCATCGACGCACTCAGAAAGTCGCTCTGGTTCAAATCGAAGTTTCAAAAGTGGATAACGCTCGAAAAACCGCGAACGATCCAGGACGCGCTCCATAAAGCTACCGATTACATAACCGTCGAAGAGGAAACTAAAATCCTGTCCGAAAAGCATAAGCCGACAAAAGCATCTGCAAAGGATGTCGCATCCGAGCAAAAGCTGAAAAAGAAAAACTCTCGTAACGACAAAATCGTCCATCACGAGGGACAAGATCTCCAAGGAGCGCACAACTACGCCGTTAACTGCGGATCGGAACAAGGGCGAACCACAGGTAACACGTGGTCAAGGAATCCAAACTACGACGAGAATTCCTTCTGCGATCTCCACTAAACCCGTGGGCACTCTACCGTGAACTGCAAAGTCCTCGGCGCCAGACTCACCGCAAAACTGATCGCGAGAGAACTCTCCAAGATAAACAGCGTCAATGATCTCATCCGCGATTCATATCTCCCTCCGAAAAACGATAGAAACCCACAAGCGGAAACTCCGCCCCAAGGGAACCAGTCGGGCAAGAAATGCGGACGAAGACAAGACGAGAAAGGTAACGATGCTAACCGCCGAAAGATCAATATGATCATTGGCGAATCGCAGTATTACAACGATACCGTCTTGTTTATCAAATCTTACCAACAAAAGGCCAAAACTGGCTCGAGCTGGAAGGTACCGTCGGATGACACTCCGAGGGGAGTGATCTCTTTCGACGAAGCAGAAACCGGTGGAATCGACCAACCGCATGGCGATTTCCTCGTCATTGACTTAGTGATAAGCGACCTAGAAGTCGCTCGAATCTTGGTCGATACCGGAAGCACCGTCAACGTAATCTTCGCAACACGTTGACACGCATGGGAATCGATTTATCAGAGGTCGAACCGATACCGAAGCCGTTGACTAGTTTCTCTGGCGAAACATCTATGACTCTGGGATCGATCCGACTACCGGTCGCAGCCAAGGAAGTGACGAAAATCGTCAACTTCGCGGTCGTTGATTTCCCAGCCATCTACAACGTGATCATGGGCACACCTTGGATAAATTCCATGAAGGCGGTGCTGTCGACATATCACTTATGCATCAAATTCCCGACCCCCACAGTAGTCGCAGCGATCTGGGGATGCCAAAGACAGTCGCGATCCTGCTTCTTAGCCAAACATAAGCTAAGGCAATTGGCGGTTGCAATCGTGAAACCG